AAGTGATAAATTAAATGTTAGTGAAAAGATGATGAAATGGGCCTTTTTAGTACTCCAGAGTCAGACATATGATTTGCAGAGCTTGCATAGAAGCTAGGGACTTAAAAACATCCTTAATCCAACAGGAATCGACTCGAAGTCCGTCCCAGGGAAATACAGACATGTAAGGGGATTGTGGCAGATACTTAAAAACTGGAATTCTCTTTAGATGATACATTATAGCATGCCACGATATGAAAGTCAGTCATCTATTGAACTATATTATTAAAACATTGTCCTGAAAAAAATGTTCATGATCAAAAAATAATATAATCAAGTTGGGGTGCGGTGCACTTGGGAGGCTAGGATACAAGGATCACAAGTTCAAAGTCAGTTTGGACTACAAAGTAAATTCTAGGCCAGTGTTGACCTCAAGGTGAGACCCCCCCAACCCACCTCCAAATTCCAAAACAGAAAAGAAAAACACAGAGCAATACATAGTGTTTATCAACTTGATAAACACACACATGCAGATATCACATATGTGATATGTGTCATGTGTATACATATCAGTACCTGGGAAGTGTAGCAGTGCTCCCCACTATTTAAGTTTTTCTCTATTTTCCTGAACTTCTATGAGACATGTATATCATGTGCAAATTGCATTCAAATTCCTAAATGTTCTACTTTTTAAAAAAAAACATAGGTTGATGTGATAATGTCTTGACATGATTTTGAGATTACTCATATTGATCATTTAATTCTTTTCAAAAAAAGGAATTATCATTTAATTATATCTTGTAAGTCTATGTGAGTTGAGCTGTGTGACAGCTATTCACCAGAATACTGGTATTTTGTTATTTATTATGTCATCTAGACCCCATATTGAAAAGCCACTCTGTATCAGGAAAAGGTGTTAGACTGAGGAGTCTTGGGCCTCAAGATTTTTAGCAAAGCCTCTAGTAGCTCTCTGGACCTCCCTTTGCTTCTGTCAAACAGATAGCAATATGGGATCTGCCACTTTCACATCGTTGTTTGTTCTGAAGCCCTCATGAGATGCTCCAGGCAGGAGGCTGAGAAGTGTGCAGTGTTATGAAAGCAGTAACTACCATTTTAAAATAGGACAGTGCCTGCCTGGAATTGATAGTTGACCTATGCAGTCTTTCTAGGTCTTCCTCCTGGTAAGGAAACACACTCCCTTGGCTTTAAAAAAAAATCTTCCCCACTCCTCCCACAGCCTGTTTCATGACATTAAAAAATGCTTATCCCTTGAGGGGAATTAGAAGGGTCAAGGCACACCCCTGACCTATCCCCACCAAGGCTAGTGGGAAAATGCCTGGTTTCTTCCTTCCCCAGAAACAGAGGAAGTGGCAGAGACTTCAGCGGTCTTATGGGACTGTAACAGAGGCAAACCATTCGTCATCTCTACAAGCTGGGATATCTCCTGGCAACTCTGTTGGCCCAGACCTCTGATGCCCGCTTAGAGTAACAAGGCATTCAGACTGTACATTGGTCCCCACAAACACCTCCAGGACATGGCTCGTGTGATGACGCCTGTCCCATATCTGATTCATATTATTGCAGACTCTCATTATGTGTATTTTGGGGACATGGAAACCCATAGCCTGTCCATGCCCCACAGCAACTGCTACAAGGACTCTTGGTCACCACAAGTACTCGGGGTATCACATGACCCAGAAGCTTCTCTCTATGCACCCTGGCAGCACACACCGCTCAGGCAGCTTTAAAATAGCTTGGGCCACCCTCCAAGTGTAGAATTTAACCAGAATCCTTGAGAGTGGGAATGAGTTGTCAGTATTTTTAGGTTCCTTGGGTGATTCCAAGTGCATCCAAGATTGCAAAGCCTTGTTTGCATCCCACACAGATCAAGGCATCTCCCCACGCAGCCTTCCCCTCTGTGAGGGCTCCACATGCCTTCAATTCATATGTGGTCCTTGCACAGGCTTCTTAACTATCGTTGACCCAAGAGCTCCCTTTAGCTCCTCTGTAGGCTGACTTTGTCTTTCAGCCGTCAATTCCACAAACTGAAGAAGAGTATTATTATCTTAGCCAATACCTTTTCGAGCCAGGCCATTTGGATTGTGGAATGCTAGCTACCCAATCTAGGAATTGGCTACTCTGAGGGAAAAACTACATCTTTCTTGCCCTAATAATCCATGGAAAGGGCCAGAGGTTATGTAAAATAAAACACATTCATTCTGCTTTGCCCCAGAACTGTTGTGTATGAACATGGGCTAGGGAGGGTACTAGTTCCCTTAATAGAGACTGTAGTATACTTGATTTATCTGATTTAATCACAAATCATAATATTGAAATAAAATGTTTTTTTTTTAATTTTTTCAAGACAGGGTTTCTCTGTGTAACAGTTATGGATGTCCTGGAAATAGCTCTGCAGACCAGGCAGGCCTCAAATTCATAGAGATCCACCTGCCTCTGCCTCCTGAGTGCTAGGATCAAAGGCGTGCTCAACCACCTCCTGGCAAAATAAAATGTATTTGTAAGACTCTATGAAAATTAAGGATCTGAGTTTTGTTTTCCTCATAGAATGTGTCTGTTCATGAGTCTTTCAAGTTTATATTAAATAATAAAATGAATAAGCCACCCAAGTATATTTAGAATATATGTATAATTTTACAATCCCACATTCATAGAAACGTCTATTGAGTTTAGAATGAAAAACCTCTGATATTCATTATTATCTCAGCTAGAGGATTTTTTTTTTAGCTTTTATAAGAAAAATTTAAATTGAAGTATAATTATACATAAAGAAAAGAACACCATCGAAAGTATACTTCTCAATGACTTCCTGTTTGTTTGTTTACAAATAAGCACCCCTGTGTGCAACACCTGGGTTAAGAAACCAAGTGTTTCTTCCCCCTAGAGACAGCCTTTGTGCTTGCTTTCAGTTACAATGTCCCTCCAAGAACAACCACTGTGTTGATGTCTACCTGGCATAGATTTGTTCAGCTGGTTTTGTTCTTTCTATGTTAACCATGTAGCACGAGCTTTATCATGTTCTAACCACTTTCCTTAGGATACTTTGCTTGTAGTTATAGTTTTAGCCAGAGGTTTTAATCTTTGGAATTTAGTTCAGCAAACATTTTTTTTTCTGAAACCAGGAAGTGGGATAGAGTTGGGGGCACAAAAACAAATAAAGGCAAGTCCTTGCTCTAAGATTACATCCCATATTGTAGTCTAGCAATGCTCTGGGAGGTTCAACAAATATTTGTTCAGTCTTCACAATGAAACGTTTGCTATCACAAGTACTAAGGATAAGTACTGAGCCGGCAAACAGAAATTCTAGAAGAAATCCCATCTTTCATCTCTGTGACAAAAAATAGACAAGGGATGCACACTGGTATCCATTTTCCAGTCTATCTTGCTTCTGATTTAACATCAGGGGTGGTACTGATGAAAGCTATTTCTTCTGGAAACTTCAAGTATGAGATGATGAAGTCCTTGGTGAAACACAGGGCAGTTTGTAAACTTTTGAGCCCGAGAGGCACCTATCTGTATCTGTTGTGGCTGCATTTCTCTTTCTTCATCCCGTGGCTGCCCTTAAGGACAGAAACAAAACCCTAGAGCCTGCTCAAGCCTCTGGGTGTCAGATTACCTAGGAGTAAAGCTGAGCATTGAGTTGCTTTCCAAAACCATAAAATGAGAGGAGACAATTACCAGAGTCGTGATGGAAGTCATGAACCTTGTACTTTGTTTTAATAAGTACAGGCTGTAATATGTGTCTGATTAGTTGCTCTTGGCTTTTCAGAGTCTAGTGAATTACTTGAGTAAAAAGCCATGACGCTAGAGGGAAGAGGGATTAGCAGGGAACTCAACACGGTTCAAGGATTGATAGTTTGGGAAGAAACAGAAGAGGTCATTTCATTTCATTTGGCTGGTTTGTTCTCCACCTCCATCTTTTTATGGAAAAATCTCGTCTCTAAAAATAGAGTTGACCGTAAAATTCACACCTATGTTCCCATCCTTCAGCTTCAAAACTTATCAGTTCCTACCCAGTTCATGTCTAACCCTCCCCTGATTATTCTATCAAATAAATTACTCATTTAAAAATACTTCAGGAAGTAAAAAAAAATCCTTATTTAATTTCCTTAGTTAATGGACTCAGAGGGAAGTCACTTGACAAATTACTGGCAATTACATTGAACCTACACTCTCAGAGTAAAAATATCACAAGATTTACTAACAGGATTATTACATTGTCATTAAATTGTCTGGCACACAATCCAATCATTTAGCCTAAAAATACCTGTTTTTAGGTTTTCAGTTAGAAAACTGGCAACTTCTCTGCAAAGAGTTCAGCAGGGTGTGGTGACAGATGTGTTGACGCCCTTTTTCCTCAGTGATTATGAAGCCAGATCCTTGTGGATTTTGAAAATGCCAATAAATTTGTCCAAGTCAAAGTGTTTCTTTTAACTATTTAGTAATAAAATGGCCTCAATTGCCTTCAAAGTGTCATCATTTCCTATTTTCAGCCTGTCCTGTTTTCAAAGAAGGTTCATTGCTCTTTGCTGTTCATGACCACTCACTATATCTGCCATGAGTTATCACAGCACAATGGGGCTACATTTTATTCCCTACAATCCCCAGTATAAACTCCCAACACCCCATTATTTTGGCCTGTCAGAATATTCCAGAAGTTTCCAGAGCATGTTTTTCACATGAAAATGATCACTAGTGCCTCTGTTGTAGTGCCACAGAAAATGAAGACTTGGCTCTGTCTGCTGCCTGCTTGCTCTGCTTGTGTCTCAAAACGCTTCCCAGGGTGTGTGACCCCCATGACTTGCAGGGAGGAGCTTCAAGCACCCCTTCACTGAGCATTTCAGACAAGGAGCCAGACAAGCTGCCAAGGTTTTCTATAAAAATACTACAGAAAACCGCCATTTATCCATGTCATGCTCCACCTGTCTCTCTGAGAGATGAAAGCAGTGAAGATCAACAGGCCGACAGTTTCACTGTTCTCACTGTGTACTTTCTCTGGGCAGGTTGTTCACATCCAACTCCTTTGATGTGATCAGTGATGATGCTTTTATTGGTCTTCCACACCTAGAATATTTGTAAGTAAGACAACCTTTCCCCCCAAGCTGATTGAGGACAGGTACTCCTCAGTTCCTATGGCTGCCTGACCAAAAATGTTGTCACCTCTTGCAGATTCATAGAAAACAACAATATCAAGTCCATTTCAAGACATACTTTCCGGGGACTCAAGTCCTTAATTCACCTGTAAGTATGGATGTTGCTATTATTTTTCAAGCTTTGTTTGTGTGGCTGATTTGGGTTTGTTGGTGTTTCTGCAGTGCTGGGATCAAACCTGAGGCCTTGTACATGCTAGATGAGCTCTCTACCACTGAGCCATAGCTGTAGCCTTCATTTTTGAGCTCATGAATTCAGTTTGGTACCTCAGCTTAAGGCACCATTTTATGAGTGCCCATGAAAATTTAAGAACTCAGATTCTTTCTCTCCATGCTATCCTCTCAGTCATGTGTCAGCATGTTCTCAGGAAATTGATTATGGTTGCTATTTTTAGCACAGATGGAGCATAATTAGAAAAGCAATCTAATGTAGGGAAATTACTTTTATTATCTACATCATTGGAGAATTATCAGTTAACTATATCCTTTAATTTGGTATTGGCGGCGCTTTTCTCACTGTATAAGTCCTGATTTTATCTGTATTTAAACCTGATGTAGCCATCAGCAGTGTCTATATAGTGCCTGAACAGTCTATTTGACAACTGAAAAAGTAATTATTCCATGGATGATTAAAGATACAGCAGTCATTCTTAACAAGGGACAATTTTGTCTCCCAGGAAACGAGAAGAAATAAGAGCTATGCTTATTTGTCACAACATGGGAATCTAACTAGCGGGTAGAGGGAAGGGCTGTTACTTACTTATCTGTAATGTAAAAGGCAAGCTCTTCAGCCAGGGATGACCAAGCTTGGAATGTCATAGTGGGGAAAGGGGAACCTTTAACCACATGAACCATGTAAATTTTTTCTTCTGGCTTATTCCACCTCTTTAATATAAAGGACATGGAGTTATTTTTAAGGAAAATATACATTAGAGATGTAACATCTACCCATGTTAGAGATAAAGAAACATCGATACTAGAAATTGAACCTGGGGCATCATACATTTGAAACAAGGGTCCTACTACTGAGTTGCATCCCTGAATCCTCATTTTTTTATTTTTTGGTTTTTTTTTTTTTTGTTTTTGAGACAGGGTTTCTTTGTGTAGCCTTGGCTGTCCTAGAACTTGTTCTGTAGACCAGGCTGGCCTTGAACTCACAGAGATCCACGTGTCTCTGTCTCCTGAGTGCTGGAATCAAAGGCGTGCATCACCACTGTCCGGCTTTATTATTTGAGACAGCATCTTACTAAGGTGCCTAGGTTGGCCTTGAACTTGTTCTGTAGTCTAGACATGCCTTGAATTTATGATCTTGCCTCGAATACTTGAGTAGCTGGGATTACAAACCTGCAGCACCAGGCCAAGATCAGAAACAGAATCTTCTGCAGGAAACATGATTATAAATAGCAACTCAGTCACTCAATTGGACCGGCCATTCAATCATTCAGTGGTGATTTCTTAAATACCTAAAATTAGCCTCATCTGTGCTGGTGATGTAGGAGATCTATGTGTCATCTTCATTCTATCTTGAGCTAATCTAACAGTTCTTCAGCCAGCTCTGTTCTAAGCCCTGATGAAGCAGAAGGACACTTCCCTCTGAACCTACTTTCTAGTATGTCAATGTAGGCATTCTGCTATACCTCCCAGGCCCCAGTGTCCCTTGCTGTTTGGATTGCGAACAAGAGGAAGAGCTGAAAACCAAATTTGTTTTATAAACTCCAATTTTGTTCTTTCAAGGCTTGTCTATGGTCATTGCAATATAAACACCACTTGCAATGCCCTTCCTATAAGTGGTATAATATGATATGAAGATAGCTGTGGAACAGAATTAATATTATGTAATTTTTTTTATCAGAGAGTCTAGTTCTTCAGGACGTTTTCCAGACAAAATAAAATAAAATAAACACACAAAAGGTGAAACGGATTTTCACTATGTTTTGTTTGAATGGTTTGAATGGTTTGTTATGGTTTGAATGAGAGTAGCGGCTATAGGCTTAGTTGGTGGAACTGTTTGGAAAGGTTTAGGAGGTGTGGCTTTGTTAGAGAAGGCATGTCATTTAGAGGGGTTAAGTTTTGAAGTTTCAAAAAGTATACATTATTCCCTGTTAGCTCTTTCTTCCTCATGCCTGTGGGCCAAGATACAAGTTCTCAGCTATTGCTCCAAAGCCATGCTTGCCTGCCAGCTGCCATGCTCCCTACCACAATGGCCATGAATTCTAACCCTCTGTAACTGTAAGCCCCCAATAAACTCTTTCTTCTATAAGTTGCCTTGGTCATGGTATCTCATTACAGCAATAGGAAAATAACTAAGACACATTGGCCTGAGAGCTCCTTGATGCACATATGTACCGTCCAACAGGGTCCCTGTCTAACACCCAGCATCAGCATGCCACTCAGAGGCTGTAAGATCCTCCCTAGGAACCTGCAATACAAGTGTGTTGTGCCCAGTTTGGTAGGGTGTATCTGCTCCAATCTAAGTGCCTGGAGCTTTCCTCCGCGTCTTTAGCACAGGATAAGGGAAAACATTCTCCCTATCTCACAAGAAGAGGATGGAGGAAGGGGAGGAGCCAAGGAAAGGAGAAAAGAAGGGAGAAGGGGGAAAGGAGGGGAGAAGTACAAGCCAAGAATGGGGAAAGAAAAATTCTGCATAGCACCATGCGAAGAACACATTTTCCTTGACTGAAAGCCATTTTGCCCATCAGATAAAGTGGGAATTTAAGTTTATATGAAAACAAAGGTCTGCTTTAGTGGTATCAGGATAGGGGACTGGTACAATGTGTGATGACAGAACCTTTCAGTACCTAGAACCTTTCAAGGTAAATGGAAAACCAAAGAAAATCCTCCAAGTGAAAGGCATGCATCTTAAGGGTTACACAGATGAGCAATGAACGCATGGCTGGTGCTGAAGACAGGAAGCAGGAGTGATGAAAGAATGGATTACAGCTGATCAAGCAAACAGGATCCTTCATCTTTTGCATCTGTACCTAATCCATGATACTGCTATTGTTTTGATCTACATAAGCGGCAACACCGTATGGGCCATGCGAAGTCATTGCTAAGGTCGTTGCTAACTTTACAAGGAGTTAAGATCCATGACGATGAGTGAGATCCATGCCATCTTGAAGAAGCCCCTTCTGGAACAGGAAGAGGAGTTGGATAAAAAAATATTTTCTCACTCCTTGTCATTGTGTTCAGGTTTTGCCTTCCTTTCTGATCATGCTCTTCTCAAAGGTATACTTCCTGCTTCTCTCTCTTTCCTTTAAGGATGGAGCAGGCAGCCTTTGAAACCCAATGTCTCTGCCTGCTCAGTACATCTAGTTCACTTCCCACTATTTACTGCTTATGCAGATGCCTGGCAATTTTTTTGCACCATTCATTTCTCTCTTTTTTTAAGGTTTAAGGCTTCAAAGAGCACTTTCTCCACCTTTGGCCAGTTCTTTCCAATTGAAAGGCAAGCATTCTAGCAGCGAGACATTGTCAGCAAGCTCTTTGGCCTGTGTACACCACAGGAGGAATTTATAAAGTTGGTTCACACTCTTACCTCCCTGTAGTCTCCAGCTGGCCTTACGGAAGGAGTGGGCAGTGACATTGCCCTCCTAGGGGCATGAAAACAAAAGTGTCAATTATGTCCTCAGTGGACGCTACTCCCCTTCTCATCATAACAAAGCCAGAAGTTGCCCAGGTCTTCAGCCAGGCATCCAGTGAAGGCTCCACTGTGTCTGTTAAAGCAGAACCGGAGAGCTCTCATCAAGCTGACCAGATCCTGGTACATGATTTGAGATGTAGATTTCAGACAAGAAAGAGATCCTGGAGCCAGCAAGATGCCTCAGTGGGTAAAGGTACTTGCTGCTAAGTCTGATGACCTGAGTTGGATCCTAGGATCCACATGGTGGTGGAAGGAGAGAACTAAAGCTTTGTAAATTATCCTCCAACCTCCACACATTAACTGTGCTGTGTGCATGCTCATATACAAGCTTCTGTATGCATCCACACAAATAAATAAATGTAACAAGTATTTCAAAAGAAGAATGAAAGAGATCCTGAAGAGGCCACCTTTGCTCTCATTCTCCAAATGCAGAGAGTTCGAGTTGGATGCACATTTTTAAACCAAACTCTTTTTATTCTGGCCTGATATTAGATCTGCTGCAAAAACTCGGTCCATTCTTTTACAAACAATGAATTTTTATCACTTTTTAAAATATATTTGTTTTGCTAGGTTTACTTCCTAAAGGGCACTTACAGACAATTTGAAAGTCACAACAGATAACTCAGTTCAGTAAGATGCTTGCCTTGGATGCCTGAGAACCTGAGTTCAAGCACCAGAAAGCACAGAAAAAAAAAGGTCAGGCATAGTGGCCCTCTTGTAATTCAGTCCCTATAAAAGCTGTTAAGTACAGAGACCCTCTCTGAAATGCTTCATTCTGAGTGCCCTAATATCATGCAGGCCTACTTTTATAACTCCAATTAAATACTGGAAGACTCAGTTCACAGTTTTGGGAGAGTCTAGGGTAGGGCACTGGGATTGGCTCAGTTCTAATGATCGCCTTTTTATTGTCAGAATTCTAAGGTAGCATATGGCATCATGTGGCAAGGGACCTGTAGTGTATGTTTCTACCTGCCAAGACACAGGGTAGGGAAAAAGCAAACAGCACCGTGAATTTTCATGGCTGGGACCACATCCTACGGGCCTGCTCTCACACATGTGCTCACTCTCCCCAGTTTCTCCATAGTGACAGTTTCATAGCCAACAGAGGCTCTTGAAAGTGTAGCTTCAATTCAGAGTCTACCTAGAACTCATCCCCTACTGAATACCTAGTTCCGAAGCTAGTTGTTAGGGTCAGGCATTTTGGAAGGCACAGCCATTCTTCCCATCATTGCATCGACCTTGGTGTTCTAGTGTTTTGCCTGAGAAAACCTTTGATTATGGCAATGGAACCCACTGGAAAATCGCCGCTATGGCAGACTAGACTGGCTCAGACGGCACATTTGTTTCAGTGCCACGGGGCTGTGCTGCTAAGAAAGCAACACCCACAGCCATCTGGGGTGCTCCCACCCCATTGCAACCATCCTCACTTTGGGCTTGTGGCTCTAGGA